TATCAAGTATAAGCCTTCTCGTTATATTCTACGATTGCGTTATGTCAGTTCAACATGACAAAGACGATGTACATAAGAACAAGACTTATCCAAACAGATAAAGTTTTATAAGATCAGCGATTATAAGATTATTATGAATTGATAATGTTAATTATATTTTATGAATATGTCCTGAAGATGGTTTATTAGACTGAAACGTCCGACGTTGACATATTAACATTAAAACAGCATAATTGCATATAAGGATTTTTGTTTGTTTTGTCCGTATATATTTTTCTTCATACTGTCGGATCTATAGCCATATATTTGCTTATATATATATATATATATATATATATATATATATATATATATATATATATATATATATATATATATATATATATATATATATATATATATATATTTTTAAAAATTGCCATAATTCCGATCAAAAGTTCTACACCACACAAGAGTTAATGATACATAGCAGGTAAGTAAAAAAGAGAAAATTTCCAATATTCTTAGGTTTAACCTATCCTTAAAAAATTTTCATCCATACAATTCACTCCTCCCGCGTATTTATAAAGGCGTTATGAAAACGGACAGAAGAATTAGGACTATTTTTTCCCCATTACACAACAACCAAAAGGAAAGACAATCCCAATATATGCTATGTGCAGGGTATTTCATAAATTTCCATACATAGGAAAATAAACATTTTTATATATGAAAAACCATTTTTATTTATATAATATGCTCTACCTGACGACCATTCTGTTGAAAACACTCTTCAATGCGTGTCTTCCACAGCAGCTGAAGAACACGTTCAAGAATAGTTGGAATTATGCTTGTAATGGCGTTGGTGTCACGTTACTTGAGATTATTTATGTTTTGTATGTTTTTCCTGATGCGCCATGGCTTTCGAATGTCCCAAATCGTAAAAATCATGAGGTAAGTTCTGTCCCTTTTTTACACACACACACAACACACACACACACACACATATATATATATATATATATATATATATATATATATATATATATATTGTAAAAAACATGCTATCAACTGGTACACAGATGTAATCATGTTTCAGCACTATAGGGGCTTCTTCAGGTGGTGATGGTGGTCAACTGGAAAATAAACGATCATTTTATGGTTTAAAAGCAGCAATGCCGGGGAAAAGGAAAAAACTAAATTTCTGACATGCAAGGGAGTGATCGCGTTGAATCAATCACATGTCGGATCTGTGCTGAGTTCGAAGTTAACTAATATATATATATATATATATATATATATATATATATATATATATATTTGTGTGTGTGTATGAGAGTCTGTGTGTTTGTGTGTGGTTAATATAAATATAAGATTTGTCACTATGCTGATTGATGTTATATTCAGCACCTCGTGCGTAGAACTTCGTAGACGAAAATGTGGACATTTGTTCTGTTCACAGGTCAGGAGATATCAGCATATATATATATATAGATTGAGGAATCGGAAAGCCGAGTTCGAATTCCAGTCGAATCCATTATATTCACTTTCGTGCTAATACCCTTGAAAAAGGTGTATCGTCTTCTTCTCCATCCAGCTATTGGGTAAATAGCAGACTGAGTTCTATAGCCTTGGATGGCAACTGGTCTAGGAGAAGGATAACTCTGAATTCAAACCCTGAGTGGAGCCCCTAAGGCGGATGGACGGCACTTTGTGCTACCCTCCGGCAACTCCTGCAGCCGCATTGGTACCAAACTTTATTGGCTTATCCTCTCCTTTGGACTCTGCTAGCAAGGCCGAGACGGAGAACTAGACGTCTGGGAAGCCCTAGTTCTCCAACTATTCCGCCCAGGCTCGTAGCGCATCGCGCTACTCCATCGTCTCTCGAGACGGACGGATGACGACGACGACGGTATATATATATATATATATATATATATATATATATATATATATATATATATAGAGAGAGAGAGAGAGAGAGAGAGAGAGAGTGAGAGAGAGAGAGATTTCTTTTTTCGCGGGTAAAGAATATAGGAGTTGTCTATAGTTATAACTCTTCCGTAATGACTGTATATATATATATATATATCATATCCAAACTAACATTGTTAGCATATAAAACCGTTCCTGAATGGTTTTACATGTCCTTACATGTTCGGTTTTACATGTCCTTCATTGAAAGCAGAGTATTTAAAAAAAAAAACGATAAACCTGAAATCTACATAAAGTATGTGGAAGACATTTTCGTTTTGATAAAAAAAACAAAACAAAAAAAAAACAAAGATGAAATCGCAAACCTAAAATCAACCTGTCTATATTTTTGAGATGATGTATTATGTAGGCTATTTACGTTATTCGGACTATAGTCCTCAGCTTTGTCACCATATTTATTACAATGTTTCGGCTGTTGTACGCTCCGGCCTTCTTCAGGTGGTTGGAATGTCGAACTGAACCCTTTATTTCGTTCACTGGGTTAGACTGTTCTACTTTCACGTTCTATGTCTAATGGATGTGAGTTATCAGTTATTTCCTGTTAATTCCTTTCTGCGAGTTCACCACTGCCTTAACTGGGTATTGAACTCACAGTCTTTGAATCCTTGACAGTGGATAAAGGCGTTAGTTAGATCCAGTGACAGAACCGAAAGAGTGTGAGTTCAATACCCAAGTCCAATAACTGATAACTGACATCCATTAAACATGGCACATGAATTAGAACAGTGTATCCGAGTGAGCGAAATGAAGGGTTCAGTTCGACATTCCAACCACCTGAAAAAGGCCGAAGCGTACAGCGGCCGAAACGAATATTGTAAATAATGTACCTTATATGGGCTATAGATCTATTTCAACCGATCTGACAAATAGAAAACCTTTCATTGAAAATAGATTTGATTACACGTTTCGGCATTCAAGGTTTCATCGGATCCCAAAACGAAAAAACCAACATGTGTGTTTGTGTATTTGTGTTTAGGCTTAAATAATGAATCCTATTTTAAAGCACACACACACACACACACACACACACACACACACACACACATATATATATATATATATATATATATGTGTGTGTGTGTATGTGTATTATATATATTTATATAAAATCGGATATATATATATATGTACATCCTATTTTAAAACAGATATATATATATATGTTATATATATATTATATATATATTTTATATACATTATATAAAATCGGATATATATATATATATATATATATATATATATATATATATATATATATATATATATATATATATATAAAAAACACACACACACACACATATATATGACCGGAATTGGTCGAAATTTAAACTGGCATTAATAATTGTTTCTACATGCAGCATGTGAAAGCACGTGTGATACCCTGCCCTCATCATTTCCCAAACAGGGAATGTAACAGAGTTTCAGTAATGTAGATTAAAAAAAAATTACCTCATTGGCGTCTGAACGTAAAAAACTCTCGTGAGGAAGATATATATTGTTTTTAAGCTGGCAAAAATTAACGCAAAATCACGGCGTTCATGAGATGTGGTTTAAAAAAGCAAAAATATGGTGTGTTCGAAAGACAGTGAGAGAAGAAGTTATTCTACAACCAGCAAAAACGTAATACGACAAAAATACATCTACATTTTGTCACTCAGAATTAGTGTCTACTAAGGAATTTAAGACAGTCTCTCGAATTTAAACTACAAGAGCTAGCGGGGTACTGACACCTGGGGCGCCACCAGCAGCTTTTGCCACCGGACGAAGTATATTTAATTTCGATGTAGACGTCTCATTCTCTGTGATTTGTATGCGACTGCAGCACAGATTTTGAAAATTTGTTCGTTAAACAAAAGCAACGCGCTTTTAGCGACCGTTTTTAACGAAGGTAAACATGTCTTTCACGTCGGAAGTAGCTTTGTGTTGTGAACATATGATGTAATGGAATAACCAGGCACCCCCATGAATGATTACACTATAGGTAGTAAGTACCTATAGAGTTCACTGTCTACGAGAGACTCTAGGACACGATTGAGTGAGACGTCGCAAGCATGTCCGACCTTTCAATTAGTGGCACTGACTAGTAGATTGACCTGTGTGTATAACTGTACCGTATTTCATTTTGTACTTGTTGTGTACAATAAACTTTTCTTCTATTATCCTTTTGGTGTTATGTATTTATTCTCTTAGCATGGAATATAACATTGGCGACGAGTATGTTTGAAATGAACTCACACGGAACATAACAACATAGATTTAATTAAATGTTATATGCACTTTAATATCTAGTTGCTATCTTCGTGATAATTGTTGTTTCGTGTTGGTTTGGTTTGGTTTACCGCATATCAACCTCAATGGATTATTTAATGCCAACAAGATTTTTATCGTTGATGTTTTTTTTTTCAAAAATGTATTGTTGGTAATATTTTTCCTTCAAAAATGTATTACTGTTAATCATGTATTGCTGGGAATAACTTATCCTCAAAAAATTATTGCTGGTATTAAAACCTACTTTTACACTTTCATAGTGATTTGACCCCAGTTTAGGGATTAACTATTTGCCCATAGCTGGGAATCTAACGGGTGCTACCACCCTGGGTCAGAGTAAGGGTGGACCTCAGAACACCAGCAATTAAGAGGTGGTTCCATGCATCTCAAAACCTCCTGAATATTGGCCTTGCTGTCGGATGTAGTTTATCGTCTAACCCAGGATGCGGATGTAGTTTATCGTCTTACCGAGTTTTTAAGTGGATGTCAGAACGTAGTCTGGAGGAGGTGGCAGAGGAACGAAACTTATTGAGAGCTACAAGAGATAGGGGTAGGTGGAAAGCCATGATCGCCTACGCCCTGAAAGGACAAGACATATAAAAAAATGAGATATCGTATTAAAATTGATTCCGTTTCTTCAATATCTCTGAATTGTTCATAATCTCGATTTTCTTTTCTTTTTTTATCTTTTACTTCTCACTTGATCTATCATCTCTCCTTAATCTTTTCTTTCACTTCCTTCTCATTTTATTCATCAGCTCTCGTTTCTGTTCCTTCTCTCTCTTACCACTTTCTTCTTCTTCTTCTTCTTCTTCTTCTTCTTCTTCTTCTTCTTCTTCTTCTTCTTCTTCTTCTTTCCATTAATTGATTCCTTCTCATTTTTTTCACCTTCATCCTTTCCTGTTCTTCTCTCTTTTCACCTTCTTCATCTGTTCTCCTTTCATTTCTTATCTATTGTCTCACTTTATTCTTAATCCGATCTTTCCTTTCCTTCTCTCGTTTTTCACTTTCTTCATAATCCTCGCTTTTTTTCTTTTCCTCTCTCTCTCTCGTCTCAGTTTCTTCTTCATCTCTTCTTTAGTCTTTCTTTTTCTCGTTTCTCACTTTGTTCATAATCTCCCCTTGATTTTTTCTTCTCACTTATTTCATTAACTCTTTCTTTCGCTTTCATTTTTCACTTCTTACATTTTACTCTTCTGTCCTTCTCTTACATCGTTCTACTTTCCTCCTTTCTCTTACTGTCTTTCATTCACTTATTTCCTTCTTTCTTTCACACTTCTTCTTTCTCTCAATTTCCGTCTTTCTCTTACTTTTCTTCTTTCTTTTACAGTCCCTCTTTCCCTTACTTTCTTTTCTTTTACAATCCTTCTTTGTTTTAATTTCCTTCTTTGTCTTAATTTCATTCTTTCTCTGACGCTGCTTCTTTCTCTAGCTCTCCTTTTCTCTCTTACTCTCCTTCTCTCTGTTACTGTCCTTCTTTGTCTTACTCTCCTTCTCTCTGTTACTGTCCTTCTTTCTCTTACACTCTTTCTTTCCCTCACTTTCCTTTTTTGTCTTAATTTCTCTCTTTCTATTACTTTCCTTCTCCCTCTTAATGTCCTTCTTTCTCTATCAACGTTGGGAAGTGACAATTGTGCGAAGACCTAAGAATCTGGAAGTGGCATTAATCTTTTTTCATTTACGCAAGTCGTACGCTCATCCACGAACCACATCACACACATATCTCTGTGTTTTTAAGCAACTACTTAAATAATGATTCCGAATAGTTTCAAGCAAAAAAATTTAAGATAATGCCTGCAATGACTGATATCAGCGGGATTGATGATAACGGCCTAACCCGATCCGTCTTCTGGGCTGAAAAAAAAAAATTCTTTTATATGCATGCGTAGTGCGTGTCCAATATTGGCTTCGCGCAAAATATTTATTTCAGTCATCGAATTACGACAAATGTGACATGTAACCTTCAAATTCTTCTATTATCTGGTGAAAATTGGAGATGAATTCCTTGTGAATGTTTTCATGAAAGAATTCTGAGATTCACTTACAGAAAAGGAAATTAACAAAAGAAAAAATATATATTCACAAACATATATATATATATATATATATATATATAGATAGAGAGAGAGAGAGAGAGAGAGAGAGGTATGAAGAAAAAAGATAGAGAGAGATGGAGGAAAATATGAAAAATGAGATAGATAGATGCAATGAAGGAGATAAACGTGACGAAAAAGAATGATATGAAGAGAATCTGATGGTTAAAAATGGGCTAGCTAGTTAAATAGATATATATGAAGTGATTATGATGGATAAAAAAGATAGATAGATAGATAGATAGATAGATATGAAGAGAATCTAATTGATAGATAGATAGATAGATAAATAGATAGATATAAAGAGAATCTAATAGATAGATAGATAGATAGATAGATAGATAGATAGATAGATAGATAGATATGAAGAGAATCTAATTGAGAGATAGATAGATATGAAGAGAATCTAATTGATAGATAGATAGATAGATAGATAGATAGATAGATAGATAGATAGATATGAAGTGAATCTAATTGATAGATAGATAGATAGATATGAAGAGAATCTAATGGATAAAAAAGATAGACGTTGTGATGAAAAACAGAGAGAAAGAGATGTAAAACGCATGTATATATTTATATATATATATATATATATATATATATATATATATGCATACAGTGTTAATGTTGAGATAAATGATAATACATGTGGAGAATCGTTTTCGAAGAAAAAAACATTGCCGCATATTCAGACGCCATTTTCGTATTTTATATGTTTTTGTTTCGCATTATTTTCTAAGGGAATGTCTCGAAAGTTATCGCAATATCTCGTGAAAAATGTGGAAATTGGAATGAGTTATTCAGACGTGAAGGCAGGCCTGGAGAATAATGCTTATTCTTATCGAACTGGTTTGAAAATAAATGCATTTTCGGTTGACATATTCGGCATGCGCGAAAAGGAATCATTGAACAGAGGCACTTAACATGAAGTGAAAAACGAAATGAGAACAATCAAAATAAAAAATCTTTTTCATGGCATTCTGATTTCAAACCAAAAAGCAACATTTTATTAGTTTTTTCCCTTTTTTTTTTCTTTGTTTTGCACAACCATATTCCCTCCAGTTTTTGTTTGATTTTCAAAAGCGGCAACAACTAACATGGATTGTAGATGTAACAAGAAGAAAAATAGTGATATAATCCGGATGTTGAGATTCCACACTACTTTATACAAAAGGTTAGAAAGGAAAGCGTCATCAATTCTCGCCCCCCCTCAAAAAATAATAAAAGTTACTGGACGAGGGAATGTTATTTTCTTGAAAAACTGTTTGATGGCAAATATTGTATTTCAACCGACAATTCAGTCAAAGAATGTGTAGCTGCAGAGTAATGGCTAATCTCGTAATTACAATATCTATCTATCTATCTATCAGATTGTTCTATCTCTCTCTCTCTCTCTCTCTCTCTCTCTCTCTCACTCTCTGTGTTTGATTATCTATGTCAGTCTGTTCATATCTATCAATCTATCTATCGAATTATTTCAGTCTGTTCATATCTCTCTCTCTCTCTCTCTCTCTCTATATATATATATATATATATATATATATATATATATATATACCAGTTTGTTCATACCTGAGTTTGTTCATATCTATCTCAGTTTGTTCATATCTATTTCATTTTGTTCATATCTATCTAATAATCGATCTAACAGTTTGTTCACATCTATCTATCTAAAGTTGTTTATATCTATCTCACTCTGTTCATATGTATCTATGTAGGAATCTATCATCTATCTATCTATCTATCTATCTATCTATCAGTTTGTCTGATTATCTATGTCAGTTTGTTTATATCTATTATTCTCTCTAACTTACTAGCTATTTCATTCTGTTCATCTCTATCTATCTATCTATCTATCTATCTATCTATCTATCTATATATATATATATATATATATATATATATATATATGAAGAAAAATATACGGAAAAAACAAATAAAAATCCTAATATGCACGATGGACATAAGAGTAAAACTGATCAAAACAGATAACTGAAATTTTACAAGATCAGCTTTCCGTTTCACAATATGATCACGTCGGCGTCACGTGGGCGATGTTGTGAAAACGTATTCCTAAAATAGAGTATTTTGAATGAAAAATGAAAAGAATTCTAGTTTAATCTAAAACTTATATGTACGTTTATGTCCATCATGTTTTCATGTTGAATTAAATATAGTTTAACGGTAATTATGTTTTATGAATATGTCCTGAAGATGGTCTATTAGAGCGAAACGTCCGACGTTGACATTATATTAACATTAAAACAGCATAATTGCATATTAGGATTTTTGTTTGTTTTTTCTGTATATTTTTCTTCATACTGTCGGATCTATATCCATATATTTGCTTACATATATATATATATATATATATATATATATATATATGAAAAAACCTCCGATGACTCAACTTGTAGACACCTGAGAGCAAATTGGTAACCGAGCAAAAAAATTGGGAATAAAAAAAGAAAGAACTAAAAACATCAAAACAAGGCGAATCAAATCAAGGGCTTTAAGTCCTTAGTCCAAAGAAAAAAAAAGCCAGTATAAAGTGTAAAGGGAAACGTAGAGGGCTCAATACGCAAAAGTAGAGCGGTAAATTAGAATAAATCCTAAAGATCTAGGCAAATCTACCTAAGTTTCACCTAAATGGATCTTTAGATTAAAATAACTAAAAAAGGAAATGGCGGAACAGTATTTATTGATAAAACCATTAAAATCATAAAACCACGTCACAAAAAAAAAGAGAGGAAAACCCATATCACAATTCAAATAACGAGGCTCTCCTATTCCTTTCACTTATTAAATATCTCCGATCTTTTATTTAATAAATCTTTAGGTTTGCTAATTTTTCTTCCATACATAACCAACATAACTTGTTACCTGCCTTATATTTATGGCATTTTTAACATTTCCCATTTCAAAATGGAGTCACTATTATCTCCTTGCTTTATACCCCATATTTTAGTGGACAATCTGGTACTATGTCTATAGGTTTCCTGATTAAAACTACTTAGATGATTATAATAACATTTTATGAAGTTACCTTGGGTAGATCCTATGTAAACTTTGGGGTTCTTGTCAGTGTTGGCACCTGACCTCAAATCGACAGGCGTCCTTATTTCTACAGTTACACTTAGAGGGGTTGGGGTGTGGTTTGTCGATGATTTTTTGATGATTTTTTCCAGTTGTACTTACTAATTAAGTTAGTCATATTTGGCATGCAACTATAACTTAATTTAACGTTGTTTTTATTGAAAGTTTTATACAATACATTAGTCGGGGGAAAATTCTTTTTTAATAATTTAACAAACATTTTTCCTATTTTAGTTTTAAATGCTGGATTATATGAGGTGGGGTTAAACCATAATATCTTCCTAGCTCTATTTTTGTGTTTGCCATGCATTTTAGGGGAATTATGCGTATCAACATATATTAATTTGTTTTTGTGTCCACTATTTTTTAAGGCTTTTTCGTAATCATGTTTGTTTTAATAAAGATATTCTCATTCGATGAATTAGTAGACACTCTATGACTAATTCCGTTAGGTATATGTTTTAAAACATGTCTAGGATAGTTTGAACCTACGTCAATATAACGCGGTTGTTGATTACTTGTCTTAAATGGGGAAATCGTGCCATCACGCCGATCGAGGGTAACGTCTAGGAAGTCAGTGACTTTAAATTATTTTTTTTGTATATATGGTTGGATTGCGAATGTTTTACGGATTTCGTCGCTTTTTGGGGGGGTGGGTACATTTATCTATTATGGTTAATCCATCATCCCTATACAGACCATGGTTACTAGGATCAATAAACTTATTTAAAGTATTCAAACGGAGCCACCCTACTAATTCGCATACCTCAGCTCCGTCATATGCTCCTATGAGATTGTCAAAATTACCGCTGCCTCCTTTTATAAGGCATCATAATGGAACAAGTAGACGTTGGTTATTTTTAAAAACATCCCTTTGCCTGATAGGCATTTTTACGAATTAGTATTACTGAAGAAAATAGAATCCTTCATCTCTAGCATGAGAGGGAAAGCCCACTTCTTCTTTAATAATAATCAGAATAACCACCTAAAAATTACAAAAACTTAGAGATTTAAAACCCACCCCATATTAAGGAATTAGACAGCTTCGCCCACCCACCCCATATTAAGGAATTAGACAGCTTCGCCCACCCACCCACCCCATCCATTAAGGAATTAGACAGCTTCGCCCACCCACCCCATATTAAGGAATTAGACAGCTTCGCCACCCACCCCATATTAAGGAATTAGACAGATTCGCCCACCCATCCCATATTAAGGAATTAGACAGCTTGCCCACCCACCCGATATTAAGGAATTAGACAGCTTCGCCCACCCACCCGATATTAAGGAATTAGACAGCTTCTGCCCACCCACCCCATATTAAGGAATTAGACAGCTTGCCCACCCACCCCATATTAAGGAATTAGACAGCTTTGCCCATCCACCCCATATTAAGGAATTAGACTGCTTTGCCCATCCAATTTCATATTAAGGAATTAGACAGCTTCGCCCACCCACCCCATATTAAGGAATTAGACAGCTTCGCCCACCCACCCCATATTAAGGGAATTAGACAGCTTCGCCCACCCACCCCATATTAAGGAATTAGACAGCTTCGCCCACCCAATTCCCCATATTAAGGAATTAGACAGATTCGCCCACCCACCCCATATTAAGGAATTAGACAGCTTCGCCCATCCACCCCATATTAAGGAATTAGACAGCTTCGCCCACCCACCCCATATTAAGGAATTAGACAGCTTCGCCCACCCACCCCATATATTAAGGAATTAGACAGCTTCGCCCACCCACCCCATATTAAGGAATTAGACAGCTTCGCCCACCCACCCCATATTAAGGAATTAGACAGACTGCTTTTGCCCATCCACCCCATATTAAGGAATTAGACAGCTTTTGCCCATCCACCCCATATTAAGGAATTAGACAGCTTCGCCCACCCACCCCATATTAAGGAATTAGACAGCTTCGCCCACCCACCCCATATTAAGGAATTAGACAGCTTCGCCCACCCACCCCATATTAAGGAATTAGACAGCTTCGCCCACCCACCCCATATTAAGGAATTAGACTGCTTCGCCCACCCACCCCATATTAAGGAATTAGACAGCTTCGCCCACCCACCCCATATTAAGGAATTAGACAGCTTCGCCCACCCACCCCATATTAAGGAATTAGACAGCTTGCCCACCCACCCCATATTAAGAATTAGACCATATTAAGGAATTAGACAGCTTCGCCCACCCAATTCATATTAAGGAATTAGACAGCTTCGCCCACCCACCCCCATATTAAGGAATTAGACAGCTTCGCCCACCCACCCCATATTAAGGAATTAGACTGCTTCGCCCATCCACCCCATATTAAGGAATTAGACAGCTTCGCCCACCCACCCCATATTAAGGAATTAGACAGCTTCGCCCACCCACCCGATATTAAGGAATTAGACAGCTTGCCCATCCACCCCATATTAAGGAATTAGACAGTTTGCCCACCCACCCATATTAAGGAATTAGACAGCTTGCCCACCCACCCCATATTAAGGAATTAGACAGCTTTGCCCACCCACCCCATATTAAGGAATTAGACAGGAATTAGACTTCGCCCACCCACCCCATATTAAGGAATTAGACTGCTTCGCCCACCCACCCCATATTAAGGAATTAGACCCCATTTAAGGAATTAGACCCACCCCATATATTAAGGAATTAGACAGGACCCACCCCATATTAAGGAATTAGACAGCTTGCCCACCCACCCATATTAAGGAATTAGACTGCTTCGCCCATCCACCCCATATTAAGGAATTAGACAGCTTTGCCCACCCACCCCATATTAAGGAATTAGACAGCTTGCCCACCCACCCCATATTAAGGAATTAGACTGCTTCGCCCATCCACCCCATATTAAGAATTAGACAGCTTCGCCCACCCACCCCATATTAAGGAATTAGACAGCTTCGCCCACCCACCCCATATTAAGGAATTAGACAGGCCCACAGCTTCGCCCACCCACCCCATATTAAGGAATTAGACTGCTTCTCCCATCCACCCCTGCCCATATTAAGGAATTAGACAGCTTCGCCCACCCACACCATATTAAGGAATTAGAGAGCTTCGCCCACCCACCCCATATTAAGGAATTAGACTGCTTCTGCCCATCCACCCCATATTATATTAAGGAATTAGACAGCTTGCCCACCCACCCCATATTAAGGAATTAGACAGCTTCATACACCCACCCCATATTAAGGAATTAGACAGCTTCGCCCACCCACCCCATATTAAGGAATTAGACTGCTTCTCCCATCCACCCCATATTAAGGAATTAGACAGCTTTGCCCACCCACCCCATATTAAGGAATTAAACAGCTTCGCCCACCCACCCCATATTAAGGAATTAGACAGCTTCGCCCACCCACCCCATATTAAGGGAATTAGACTGCTTCTCCCATCCACCCCATATTAAGGAATTAGACAGCTTTGCCCACCCACCCCATATTAAGGAATTAAACAGCTTCCCCACCCACCCCTATATTAAGGGAATTAGCAGCTTCGCCCACCCACCCCATATTAAGGAATTAGACAGCTTCGCCCACCCACCCCATATTAAGGAATTAGACAGCTTCCCACCCACCCCATATTAAGGAATTAGACAGCTTTGCCCACCCACCCCATATTATTAGGAATTAAACAGCTTCGCCCA